TTTTTTGAGATAGTCTTACTGTGTCACCCTTGGTAGAGTGCTGTGGCATCACAGCTCATAGCAACCTCAAACTCTTGGGCTTAGATGATTCTCTTGCCTCAGCCTACCAAGTAGCTGACTATAGGTGCCCACCACAACACCCAGCTATTTTTTGGTTGCAGTTGTCATTGTTGTTTAGCTGGTCCGGGCTGGTTTCGAACCTGACAGCTTCAACGTATGTGGCCGGCTCCATAACTGTGCTATGGGTGCCAAGCTGGTAGCCATGCTTTTGTTTTTGATTAATATTTATCCTCTGTCTATATCCCCAAAATTATATAGTAGGGATCTATAATGCATATTGCTTTATATATTAATGTCATTTCTAAGTATCAGCCCTAAATATTGTGGCTCTGTTTTGTCTACCTTTTAAAAATATGCTTTAAATTTCTTAATTACAGATTTCCCCTTAATTCTTCATTTTTTCCTCTTATAATTCAAATACTTCAAAGTTTATTGGTTGGAATGGTAATTCTGTCATCTTTGTAATTTCTATTTTTATTTTAATTGAATGACTTGTCTCTGGGTTATAAGTCATTTTTTTCCTGCTTTGTATGTCTAGTAATTTGTAATTGTATGATGGACGTTATGGACCCAAGGTTGTTCAGTATCTGGATTTTGGTATCTTCCTGGCCTATCCTTTGGTGATCTTTGCCAAAGACTTTAAAGCAAATTTTTGACATTTTACCCCTACAGACTTTAATATGCATCTCTAACACATATGGACATTTCTTATGTAACTACAACTGTTATTATTATCACAATTAATAAATGTAATAATGCAGAAGAGCCAAGACCAGAAGGAGGTGAGGTCTTCCCCTAACAGCTGGGGCAAAGGTCTTCAAACACTGGAACATGCCCAGCATATCCAGGGGGCAACAAGGGGTCCAGTGTGGCTGGAGCTTGGTAGGAGGATGAGAAGAGATGCTTCCTGGTCAGGCAAGAATGAATAAATTAGGTAAAAAGTTTAAAAGTATTGTGTTATATATTTCTTTTATTTTGCTTAAGCACTGTTCAGATGGAAAATATTTATCTTTGTATTCTCTGGGGTCACTAGAGCTTGTTGCTGGGGTACTTTGGAAGTGCTGAGGGATTTACTCAGAGACATTTACAGAATCTGACAAGAACATTGCTAGAGGTGGTCTGGTAACTTCAGGATAATCATGGAAGGCCCTAATATCTCCTGCCTTTACTATCCTGAACTCACTAGATTTTGGGTTTTAAAAAAACAAACTCTGTTTTTCTGACATTATCTAAACCTAAACTACGTAGGAAACTTGTTTAACAGTCTCATTCATCTTTTTCTACCACTGGAGAGAGATTGCCATCATAGGTAACCAGGTGTTTGTTCCTCTGTGGAAAGGATGTTATTAGCACACATGCTTTCAATAGCTTTGTGGAGTGCAGACTGATTGTGATGGCTTTTATTTCTCCTTTTAATAAGGAGGCATTTCTCATCCCCCCTTTGGAGCATTTGGAGTTCTGATTATGTCTTGAAGTCATGTGGAAGATTGTGGTTTCACTTGTATGACCAATTTTAAATAAGTTGGTTTTCAGAGACAGGGACCCTCCTGTGAGTACATGGTTGAAGTAGGCTGAGTGCGGTCCATGGAGTCCCTGGTCCATGGGAAAAGGTTGGTCACACAGAAAGGGGTCAGAGTGTCTCACAAGCCTGGATTGGTATCTTTTGCGTATGACTACTGTTCCTGCCTCCCTTTAAAAAGATGAGAATGAGGAGGGAACTCACTCTCCTTTTGTTTTCCTTCTGTAGGAGATGCATCGGAGATTTGAGAATGCCCCTGATTCTGCCAAAACAAAAGCTCTGCAAACTGTTATTGAGATGAAGGTAAGCGAGAATCTAATAAAGAATCTTATGAATCACTTTACACTTTTGAGTGATTAAACATTTAATGAGTTTTAGAAAATGTTATGTAGCAATATTTCCCTCATTTTGCAGACTGAATATAAGAGTAAGACTTAATGAAATGAATGACATCTTAAAATAATTTCAATTTCATTTCCTTTTTATGATCTTAATTCAGGTTGGACAAAAAAGAGTTATCTAGAATTTCTTTAACTGTTCTCAAACTTCTTGATCTCAGGACACCTTTACTCTCTTAAAGTGACAGGCTTACTTCATTTTTAAGAGAATTAATTTCTGCCAACTACCAAGTCTGGGTGACTGTAGTTTGTCAGTTATTCTTCTAAGTAAAGTGCTGTTCTCTGAACTAGTGCCAGATTCGTTTTGCATCTCAAAGCAACGTGCAAGTGCTGTTCCCAGACGTGCTTCATGCCTAGGTGCATCCCGTTTTGTCACATAAAATGTTAAAAAGATTTGTACTTGTGGGTTAAGATTTATGAAAAGTAGTAACTTTTTACTGCTTCCTCAAGGAATTCTTAAGTGAAGCAGTTTTTTAAAGTCTTTTCTTGGCTGAGCGTGGTGGCTCACGCCTGATTGTCCCAGCGCTGTGGGAGGCCGAGGCGGGTGGATTGCCTGAGCTCAGCTGAGTTCGAGATGGGCAGAAGACCAGCATGAGCCGGAGTGAGCCAGAGTGAGACCCTGTCTCTACAGAAAAAAAAAAAAAACAACCAGGCATTGAGGTGGGCGCCTGTAATCCCAACTAGTTGGGAGGCAAAGGGCAAGAGAATTGCTATAGGAGGAAAAAAAAAAATTAAAAAAAAAAGAAAAACCCCAAAACAAACAAACAAACAAAAAAACAACTTCAAACTAAGGTAAGTGAAAGCCAGCTGAAATTGAAAGCAAAAATTTAAAAAAAAGTCTGATTTTTCATATTTTTTCACTGTATGTGCCTGAAGAGTATAACTACTAGTCTGGCTCTTCGCCGTTGCCATGATGTGTGCTAAGGTACAGGCAGTTTTACCCACCTTTGCAGAAGTCAGGTGATATCATAGTGTTATTATGAAAATAGTTTTGACCATGTACACTTTGAGAAAGTGTCTAGAGGAGCTCCCAGTTTTATGAAAACCTCTGTTTTAAGTTAACAAATAGTTAGAAATCTTTAAGCTGTATAGTATAGTAATTAAAGAACTTGTTTTCTAAGTTACATTTCCTGGATTCAAAATGTGGCTTTACTTTTGTGTGTCATGAAGCAAGTTACCTAATCTCTTTATGCCTCAATTTCTTTATAATAAATGGTGATAGTAATACCCATTCATAGGGTTGTTTTGAGGTTTAAATTACTTGAAACATGTAAAACACTTTAGCCTATAAGAGCTTTTATAAGAAAGAACATGTTATTAATAAAAATAACATCAGCAGCAGCTAATAAGGAGTGAATATTTAACACACACCAGGCCCTACTAAAGTGTTTTGCAGCCATCATTGAGCCATAGGCGCCAAGCCTATAAGAGCTTTTATAAGAAAGAACATGTTATTAATAAAAATAACATCAGCAGCAGCTAATAAGGAGTGAATATTTAATACACACCTATGGCTCAAGTGGCTATGGCGCCAGCCACATACACCTAAGGTGGCAGGTTTGAATCCAGCCCAGGCTTGCCAAACAATGATGGCTGCAACCAAAAAGTAGCCCAGCATTGTGGTGGGCACCTGTGGTCTCAGCTACTTGGGAGGCTGAGCCAGGAGTTGGAGGTTGCTGTGAACTGTGATGCCATAGCACTCTACCCAGGGGGACAGCTTGAGCCTATGTCTCAAAAAAAAAAGCTCTTATAAATAGGAGCTTCTACATACACCTAAAAAGGTTGACACTGTGTTTTGCTTTGTGGGCTATCATTTAATATTTAGTGATATCACAAGAATATTTAGTTATTAATATCTAAATACTTTAATATAAATAGGTGCTTTTATTAATTTAGATGATTTTCTCTTAAAGCTTTATTTATATTGTATACATCTTTTTTCCTTGGGGAAAGGACTTACCAAGCAAATTCCAAATTAGTGAATTCTGGGTTCTTTGTAGTTAATTAGTAATCTTGAATATAATCTTGTAAAGGGCCTTTAGAATGGTTTAATTACATGATTTTACTTTATTCACTCTCACTGCAAGTTTATTTGTATGTGTTATTTCCTTATTCCTGTTGACACTGAAGAATAAAACATATGAATGAATGTACCCATATTCACAAAATTATTTCTGTACTCATTGTTTGACAGAATGGGACAGTGTCAAGAGTATTAATTGGCAGTGGATCTATTTTAAGTTGTGTTAACCTTGAGCTATTCTGCAAAGAAGCAATAGATTCTGGTGGCCCCCTGGGCTCATGTGGATATTATGCTGAAGTTAGCTGAAATATGTGTAGCTCAGTTGCTGAGATTGTGGCATGAGTTTGAGAGATGTATGCATGAGGATGGTCTTTGGGAGAAATAAGACAAGAAGATGATTGAAGGGGTGGCGCCTGGCTTAAAGGGGTAAGGCGCTGGCCCCATATGCTGGAAGTGGCGGGTTCAAACCCAGCCCCACCAAAAAAAAAAAAAGAAGGTGATTGAAAGACAATGAAAGAACCCACTAGTTGTCATGGTGATGCAGTTTTCTTTTCTCTTGCCTCTTCTTTTTCCTTATTCCTTCTTCTATCATCTTCTCCCCTTCCATCCTTTCCCTTCTGCCACATACCCCCTTTTAGTTCTGCTCCTTTTTCTCTGCTTCTTTTTTGTCTTTCTTTAGCAGTTGAGGAGCAGGGAAGAATGACTGTGCACTGCTATAAAGATAGAGTTTTGATGGATAGGTAGAACAGAATGATTGAGATGCAAAATGAATTGAGGGTGATGACAGGAAGTTTGGATGTTCAGTACTGGAAATGGAAGAAGGAAAATTCAGGTGGACTGACAGGTTGGGAGAAAATGTAAATGTTAGGGAAATGAGGTTAAAGAACTGCAGGTAATCAGAGTGAGAAGATGATGGGCCTGGAAGAAGAATCCTGAGTAATAATGCGATCCAGAGTACAGTCCTATAAACTGGATAGCTGAACAGGACTGGAGGATGAAGCCATTGGAATTAAGGGCATCAAGGAATTCTGTCCTTGACATCCCAGGATGATGGCAGGAGTAGCAATTGTGAGCCAGGCGCCAAAGACTTCAAACAGTGGGTGGGAGTGATTGAGAAGTTCCTAGATGGAAGCTTTGTGAGGAGGATAGAGTGAAAGGGAGTATGAGCTTTCTATAAGGGGGGCAACATGGAAGAACCAGAACTCCCCCCTTCCCCATGCTCCTTTGTGATGCTGGGAGATTACTGGCCTTCATTGGAGAGAGTTCACAGAATTTGTATCCTCTGGGAAAGCCAGGTTTTACTTGAGATAGGAGATAATCTTTGAAAAATGGTTGAGAATATGGGGGGGTACAGAGGAGCAGAAGATTTCAATAAGCCCAGTGGGATTGGTTCATCAGTGAGGGGAGAACCAGGTTGGAGAAGTACAGAGAAGTAAGGTGAACAGAAATTTATTTATTTAGTCATTACACATTTTATGAGTAAGAAACCTAGTTGGAATGACTGTCCTCAAACTCAGCCCTTGGTGCCAATTGGATTGATTGCCAATTGGATAGAACTAGTTGAGAGTATCAAACATTAATTTCTGGCCTGCTTTCAGAGAACAGCTTGGAATGTTTTTTTCCTGGGCAGGCAGAGCCTGGTTTCTGGTTTTCAGAGCTGCAGTCAAGATCCCTTTTTGGGGAGAAGCTTTTATGGTTCCTGATTTGATGGTGGGGATGCTGATTTGTCAAGTGCTGTCTCTGTCTGTGTTGCGGGTATAGGAGAAGATGGATAATATTTTTTGGCAGGGGCCTTGTGGAGGTTGGTAGAGGCTCTGTACAGGTAGAGGCTGCCTTGTGATGTGCAGAGCTGGAGTTCTTAATTGGGGGCTGTGTAGCCTCCCAAGGAAAGCCTTACTTCACCCATTCAGCTGGTCTCCGCTTATCACCACCCAGGCCAATGTCAGAGGAGACCCTGTATTTCATGTTCTTCCACATGCAGGTCAGTCACATGCATATGCTTAGTGTTTTAGTCATTTCTTCTTTTTTTGTTTTGAGACAGAGTCTCAAGCTGTCACCCTGGGTAGAGTGCTATGGTGTCACAGCTCACAGCAACCTCAAACTCTTGGGCTTACATGATTCTCTTGCCTTAGCCTCTCAAGTAGCTGGGATACAGGCACCTGCCACCACACCCAGCTATTTTTTATTGCACTTGTCATTGTTGTTTAGCAGACCCTGGCTGGGTTTGAGCCCATTAGCTTCAGTGTATGTGACTGGCGCTGTAACAACTGTGCTACCAGCACCGAGCCAGTATTTTAGTCATTTTTAAGGGATATTTCCAGATAAATTTATAGCAATCTTAAAAGTGAATTTTCAGATAGTATAATTGAAGTATTGCTCTTTATGGGTCAGTAAATGATGGCATAAAGCCCACTGATTTTAAATAAGTATATCATAATTCTGGTTAAGTTTTAGAATATGTCTGGTGGTATTATTAGTAATTCAGTACATTTAACTTTGAGCAAAATGTAAGTTTAATTTGAATAGATTTGTAAAACAAAACTTTTCTTGTGGTATTTTTAAAGATAATGTGATGAGCAAAACAGAGGAGTACATCCCTCTTCCTCTTGTACCTTTTCCCTTAAAGTTATTTATTTGTTTATTTGTATGAGACAGTATCTCATTCTGTCATCCTGGGTAGAGTGCCATGGTGTCACAACTCACTGCAACCTCATACTCTTGGGCTCAAGTGATTCTCTTCCCTCAGCCTCCTGAGTAGCTGAGACTATAGGTGCCTGCCATAATGCCCAGCTATTCTGTTTTTAATAGAGACAGGGTCTTGCTCTTGCTCGAGTTGGTCTCAAACTCCTGGGCTCAGGCAATCCACCTGTCTCAGCCTTCCAGAGTGCTAGAATAACAGGCGTGAACCATCACACCTGCCTCAGGTGCACTTTTTTCATAATGAATCCTCCAGTGGTTCTCAACCTTCCTAATGCCACAATGTATTTTCATTGTTAAAAAGGGGTCACAACGCACACATTGAGAACTGCTGCTTTAACTTCTTTCATCTACATGCTCTAGGAATTAAGATAGCAAGGAAAGTCAATTAAGAAATCCTTGAAGGAAAGCGGAAACGGAAGTCAATCTCAAAATGGTTTTCCATAGGAATGGTGGTTTCTCTAAAACTCCAAGTAAAATAAAGCTGTATTGAATTTATGCTCTTTAAAGTCTCTGTTTCTGGCTCGGCGCCTGTGGCTCAAGCGGCTAAGGCGTCAGCCACATACACCTAAAGTGACGGGTTCGAATCCAGCCCGGCCGCCAAACAACAATGACGGCTGCAACCAAAAAAAAAAAAAAAAAAATAGCCGGGCATTGTGGTGGGCACCTGTAGTCCCAGCTGCTTGGGAGGCTGAGGCAGGAGACTTGCTTGAGCCCAGGAGTTGGAGGTTGCTGTGAGCTGTGATGTCATGGCACTCTACCCAGGGGGATAGCTTGAGGCTCTATCTCCAAAAAATAAAATAAAATAAAGTCTCTGTTTCTTAGGTAAATAAGCATATGCAACTACTATATATAAAACTATTCATTCCATATAGCAGTAATTTATGACATCTAAAGAAATCTGGGGATAAACTAGATACTGTGACAAGGAAAATCAAGTAATTGAATATGGAAGAAGGTTCTGCTAGAAGGTGATATTTGTGATAATGATGACTTACAAGGATAATGATTTAAAAAAATTACTATGAATTATTTTAAATGCATGGAGAAGTATGGCAAATAATATTTCTAATATGATACAAATATAATTATTCATTTCTTTTTCTGCAATAGAATGTTATGTAGTTTTTATTATTGTAAAATAATGTATACAATAATATATAATAATGTATACATTATTATATAAATCACTGAAACCCTCTTAGTCTTTCCCACTTTTGGGGGCAAAAATATGCCTTTTAGGGGTCACCAAGTAAAATGATACAATATGTATTAGAACTAGAAAAGGTTTTTTTTTCACTAGAAGTTTATAGTTTCTGGTGCAAAGGAAACTATAGTTTTCCATTGCTTCTTTTTTTCTTTTTTAATGGGGGGGAAGGTTTTTTTTTTTAATATATATAGAGACAGAGTCTCACTTTATTGCCTTTGGTAGAGTGCTATGGAGTCACAGCTCACAGCAACCTCCAATTCCTGGGCTTAGGCGATTCTCCTGCCTCAGCCTCCTGAGTAGCTGGGACTATAGGCATCCACCACAACACCCAGCTGTTTTTTGTTGCTGTTTGGCCGGGGCCGCGTTTGAACCTGCCATCCTTGGTATATGGGGCTGGTGCCCTACTCACTGAGCCACAGGTGCTGCCCTGCTTCTATTTCTTTAGTTAATTATTTCAACTTTAATTGAAGGATGCATAACTAGAGACAGAGGGAACATTGTAGGTATGAGTCCTTCGTCTCCCACCCACACAGCTGTAAAGCATGTGTTTTTAGAAGCAAAGTGTAAATCACTGGGCAGCAATTTTTCTATACGTTTGTTCAGTTTTATTAAATTTGATATCTTTAAAGATTATGTTATTCATCTTCTCTGGGTTTTTGTGACTAGATTAATCCTGAAATCTTCCATTGTTCTCAGGATTCAAAAATTTCCTCTATGGAGCGTGGACTCCGAGACCTGGAAGAGGAAATTCAGATGCTGAAATCCAATGGGGCATTGAGTACTGAAGAACGGGAAGAAGAAATGAAGCAAATGGAGGTGTATCGGAGCCATTCTAAATTTATGAAAAACAAGGTATGATGTGTGATACTTCAATGCTTTCAAGAGGTTTGAAAAATTGATGCATACTTTCGACATCTTTAGTGATAACAAAGATCAACTTAACTCTGTTTTATCAGACTTCTGGGAAGAATACTTCCAGTGTAGTTCTTTCAAATGGAACTTTCCTCAAATTAGTCAAAATTACTGATATCAGAGAGTTATAAATTTTTACTAAGAGAGAATTGCTTGTATGAGACTACATATGTATTATCACAGTTTAGCTGTTCATATCTCTGTACTTTTGAGGTCATTTAATAGAATTATAACCAGATGACTGTTTCATCTGGTTATAACTTGAGTGAGATATCAAGTTCTTTACCTATTGTGAAGTAGTTTAAAAGTCAGAACCCTAGGAGGCTGAATCTACCTCCTGCCCCATTTTTCAAAATGGGTTAAATAAAATTGTTTCCCCTTCAAATACAGTTCCATAAAGGAAAACCCTTTGCTTTATCCCTTGGGAACGATCCATTTGCCCTCACGCTTATGGCTTCTCATGTGCACTTTTGGCATATATATAGTAAGATAGCACTAAAACTTATCAGTCTGTGCATATGTGCAGTAAGATACCACTGAGACTTATCAGGCTGTGTTACAAAGTCAGTCACAACATTTCTTCCTTGGATCCAACATTTAGCTTGATTCTATGAACTATTTCAGCAAGTTGGAGGATTTAGTTTATTACAGTTATCAGTTTATCAGTTTTATTATGGTTTAATTAAAAATCATGATTGTAATTATAAACTTTTAACCAGAAAGTAAATGTTTTCCCCATTATTATTTATTTAATGTAATGATACAGTCATAACTCCCTCTCCAGTTTTTGCCTTCTTGCTGTGGTGCCCATACTGTAGCATATAAGTTTATAGAATATTCCTCTACTACTTTAATTTCTACCAATTTCCTGTTAATTTTAGAATTTAAAAATACACATATCCAACTTTCCATTAGTTTGGACTTTCACCCTAATTTGAGAACAAAATGTACTGCAATATAAAATCCGTATTTATGCTTTCCATTTGTTCGTTAGCACATTTCAGTCTATTTTATAAAAAAAAAACTGTCAAAATATAGAAGCCATCAGTGACTCTTTGAAGAGGGAATTAGGGGAACAGATTTGATTGTGTTATATAAGTTATTGTTATTTCCAGTTACCACTCTATTTCAAAAGCAGTTAATAAGAAGACCTAAGCTGACCTATAAATGAAAAAGAATAACAATGTCGTGACAGGTAGAGCAACTGAAGGAGGAGCTAAGTTCCAAAGAGGCTCAAGGGGAGGAGCTGAAAAAGAGAGCGGCTGGTCTTCAGGCCGAGGTCTTTGCCGTAAGATTTACCTCTTTTGTGTGCAGTGATCCCACAGTGGGACCCTGCCAGCTCTGGCTTCTGGGTGGCTTACACTTTCATTCTCTATGGTTGGCAGCTCTGCCCATTACTAGCACTAACCAGCCTGCTCTGCTCTTTAACCGACTCCTGTTCACCAGTTTGACCTATGTGTCACTTTGTGTGCAGTGAGCCTTCATGTGTTCTAGAAGCCCTGTGCCTGGTTCTTTATTGTTGCCTTTGTCACTCTATGGATGGTATTTCAAAGCTTGTTTTTTCTCAACACCTTATTGTTAGATTGTTGATGTTTATATATGAATGATGGTCTTTTTTTCATCTAAGGTACAAAAATACGCAGATGTTCTAGTCCCATTGCCTAGAGTTTATTTGAATTTGAAGTTTTTCGGTAAAGTGCTTTACCTTCTTATGTTGATATTATCTTTAAATCCCTCAATAGATGATTTTGCCACAGATGTTATTTTCTTCTTCTTTTTTTTTGCATCAATATCCTTTAGTAGTGTGCTACATTTTTTTTTTTTTTAATGAATCATAGCTGTGTACATTAAAGCAATCATGGGGTACAACGTGCTGGTTTTATATACAATTTGAAATATTTTCATCAAACTGGTTAACATAGCCTTCACCGCCTTTTCTTAGTTATTGTGTTAAGACATTTATATTCCACACCTAGTAAATTTCACATGTACCCTTGTAAGATGCACTGAGTAAATTTCACATGTACCCTTGTAAGATGCACCTTAGGTGTGGTCCCACCGATTATCCTCCCTGCACCCATCCTCTCCCCTCCCTCACTTCCCCTTCTTGGGCTATAATTGGGTTATAGCTTTCATAAGAAAGCTATAAATTGGTTTCATAGTCCATTTGCTCCTATAATTCCTCTACTAGGTATATATCCAGAAGACCAAAAATCACATTATAACAAAGATATTTGTACCAGAATGTTTTATGGAAGAAGCCCAAGTGCCTATTGACCCACAAATGGATTAATAAATTGTGGTATATGTACACCATGGAATATTATGCAGCCTTAACGAAAGATGGAGACTTTACCTCTTACATATTTACATGGATGGAGCTGGAACATATTCTTCTTATCAAAGTATCTCAAGAATGGAAAAAAAAGTATCAAATGTTATTTTCTTTAGGACAGATGTATAGAAAGTATTTGGAGTTATCTGATAAATTAAAATTATTAAGTATGTACATCTTCTGATGAACTTAAAATACCATTTCAAAATATAATAATAAAGCAATAAATACAGTTGGCCTTCCATATCTGTGGGTTCCACATCTGTAGATTCAACAAGTGTTTTTTATTTTAAGGGGAAAAGAAGAGTGGTTGTGTCTGTACTGAACATATATAAACTTTTCCCCTTTGCCATTATTCCCTAAACAATTCCCTAAAACAATTGTTTGCACAGCACCTGTACTGTATCAAGTATTGTAAGTAAGCTAGAGATGATTTAAAGTGTATGGGATGATGTGAGTAGATTATATACAGTTACTATACCATTTTATATCGGGACTTGAGCATGAATTTTGATATCTGAAGAGGATCCTGGTACCAACCCCACATGGTTCCTGAGGAATGGTCATTAAATAGCCAACACTTGCATACTTATTATAAACATTTTATAACCTGCTGAGTTAGGTATATTATCAACCCTGAATTATAGTAAGGAAATCAAAGTAACAGAATGGTGCCTAGGAAAACAAAGCTAGTAAGAGGCAGGGTTTGATTTTACACGAGCATTCTCATTCTAGAAAGTGTGCTTATGAGCTCTTCACTGTATTGCCCTATATTATGCTGTCTGCACATTTGTCAAAGTATAAGAAAAAAACTGCTTCTCAAAATAATTGTGGGCTAAGACTGGAATGCAGTATTTTAAAAAACCCCAAAGTTATGGGTAATTGGTATGTTTGCGTTCTACTTTATAGTGTAGATAAAAAAGTGAAATATTTTGATGAAAGGGTCTAATTTGGTTTATGGCAGATGTGTATTATCTAGAGAAGTTGATCTACAACTTCCTTTTTTCATAGTTACTGCTGTGTATTATTCATGTCTGTTATGTCAGACAACAGGGTAAGTGTGTTTAATATGAATCTGCCACTGGTATAGTTTCTCCATAATACCAGTTAGGAAACTAAGGCTTAGAGAGGTAAAGTAATTACTCAGGGACACATAGCTAGCTTAGCCTGATACGTGATTCACTGCTAAACTGTGTACTCCTAAGTTTTGTATTATATCTGCTTCCTGTTTATAATATTCTTTCCCCTTCTCAATCTTTAAGGAACACATGTGCTTTGAATTCTGCTTTTCATTTAAAATCTTTTCTTCCTTTCTCAGTCTTTGTCAATATAGCATTATTAGAAGCTTATTTAATAATGTAGATAATGAGGAAACATGTATTTATTTTTGATTATGATTGGAGATAGCTGGAAATTTGAATCATCTTTAAGCCATATTTCCTTAGCAAGAGAAAGTGGCAACATTTTGAACATTTCTCCTGAATATTCATTCGTACAACAGAAGTGTTTTCAGTACAGTCTATAGTTATGGATAGAATAATACTGATATGCATTTTTTATTGATAAAGGGATATCAGGAAAGACATTACAGTATGTGGTCATTCCTGGGCACATACCTGTTTTACAGGATGAAAATAGCTGGCACTTAGCAATTATTGTCCACTGATGTCTTAGTGTTCTCAAGTACTCTATATACAGTAAACATACAGAAATATTTGTTGAATGAATAAATAACCATATCTGTAAGTAAGATTTCATGCATATGAGAAAAATGCTTATGCTTTTTGTTGAAACAGAATACTGAATTAGAAATTGATTTTTGGTGTCCTTAAAAGTTAATTTTAATTAGAGTAAAATTTATTTCTTCATGGGAAATTGATCTCAAAGCTCTATCTCTTATACTTACGATCATTACAATTAAAATACTTTGGATACATTCAGTTTTAAAAAAATAAAGTACTCTTTTTCATCAATGATACTGAAATTACTGTCTTGCCAAATTTATACTTAAAATAATAAATTTATCTTTTAGTTCCTTGCTAGGTGGGAGACATAATGTAAAAGCAGGTTGGATTTCATGTATTTGGCTTACATTTAGAGTAAAAGACTATTTTTAAAATTATTAGAAACAAGTGTAAAGGAGATATTTGAAAGAAAACAGTTCCTGTAGTAGGAGACATTTTGGGAGGATGAATGGCACCTATTGTTTATAGATTACTCTTTTAGAGTAATGAACTTGAAATTAAACGTGTAGGTTATTACAGAATGAAATTTTATGCACTTTTTGTTTAGGTCACATACTTTTATCCATTTTAGTTGGTATGAATGTTGTAGTGATAGAACTTTGTAGGTGGAATCTTTTTTTAAATTTAGCACACATAACTTATAAAAATTATAAGATTTTTTTAAAGTACCATATGCATAACATTAAAAGTAGCTTTTTAAGATAAGGACTTTTCTTTGAGAATGAAAAATATAACTTAGTGAAAGAACACAGTATCAGCAGCTTTTGAATTTACTTTAAATAGTAGTACTAGGAGGTTTCTTTTTTTCCTTCTGTGTTGTATCTACATTAATCCTGCATTCTATTATGTTCTAAAGAGGTCTGACTTATAAAATGAAAACTTTTATCACACAGTGGTGCTTAGTTGCTTACTGCTATCTCGTAGTCATCTTATTGAATTGGAATTTCCTTCCTTTCCATTCTCTTTCTAAGGGTTTCAGAGAATATTTGGAAGACACAATAAATAAGCTTTGTGGGGGTTGGGGGAGTGGAGTGGACAGTGCAAAAAGATGAATATGTCCTATCACACAATTAAGGCTGCATTTAGTTTCTTATCTTCTGACTTAGATCTGTCAGAGACCCAGGTTGAAGGTGGTTATTTCATTTTTTTTTCTTACAATGTTTTACTTTCTTTTCTAGATTGGCCAAGTGAAACAGGAGCTATCCAGGAAGGACACAGAACTGCTAGCCCTACAGACAAAGCTAGAAACACTCACTAACCAATTCTCAGACAGTAAGCAACACATCGAAGTGCTGAAGGAGTCGCTGACTGCTAAGGAGCAAAGGGCTGCCATCCTGCAGACCGAGGTGAGAAGAATTCTGGGTTTTGTGGGGAGTTGATTCCTTGGCACCTTTTACTGAATAATACCTGTGCTGTTTTTGTTAGGTTTAGAGAGGGGAAATATGAAGAATGTTGTGATTAATGTTTTAGCAATGTGATCAGTTATTTGTACTAAAATATAACCATCTTATTTTAGTAGTTCTTAGACCTAACAAGTTAAACTGGTACAGTCTATGTATATTTTAATACTTTAAACTTTCACCAAGTCTGTGCTTCAAAATATATCTCTAAACTAACATTTAAAATGAAAGGGTAATTGTGGAAAATCATTGACTTAGAAGCTGTAATTCCTACCATGGTAAATTTTTTAGTTATAAATGAACTACAATGAGCTTGCTTACTCTGTGTTTAGATTAAATGTTATAATTTTTGATATTAGTAACTCAAGCAAACATGTATAATCTATAAAAGGTCTAGACAGATGTAGCTTTGAACCACAGATCATTAGACAATGTGTTCATATCCTGCTTGAAAATAAAATTAGTATTTTTATAAATCTTAGGAGATTATCTAGTCTGTTGGCTGTGACTTCCAGTAGGAATATGCTAGATAATCCCAGGCAGATTCTTTATCTATCTTATTTTCAATGATTGGAGACAAGGAGTTGATGATGCTGTTTGGATTTGTTATCTTAATATAAACATTTATTGCAGGTCTCAGTGAAACAGGTAATTTAGATAGGAATAGGTAAGTAGTTCTCCTTTATAGAAGAAGAATAATGCTTATAATATAGATTTTTTCTTTTCAAGAAACAGTAGATAAACAAAAGCATAGTTTGATAGAAGAAAGGAATGAGGAGGAAAAGAAAAGAATGAAAATATCATATTCCTAGGAGACTAGAATCTTTAAGTGAGGAGGAATGGGGAAGGCACCAAAACAGTTTTATGTCATATTTTTATTTGTACAGTTGTGGCTTTGTTGAAAACGAGAGATTTTGATGACATGTTTGTCATTTTTTACCTGTTTTTGTGTTTTTTTTTTTAAAATTTCAGGTTAAATTGAGGGTACAAATAAGTAGGTTACATGTTTGCACTTGTTAGGTGGAGTCTCTCTTATAATTGGAATAGTTTTTGTATTTTAATTATGTTTCATTTTATCATGATATCTGCTCCATTCTTCCGCCCATAGATATTTTGGGTTTAAACTCACTAGACGAAGTAGTTGTTCAGACTCTGGCTCTAGAGGCATATTTACTGAGTTTCAACATCAGCTGTACCATTCACTGCCAGGTGCATGACTCAGGGTGTATATTAAACTTCATTATGCCTGGCTATTCACATTGTCAGAAGAAGAGAAAAGTAATACTTGACTCATAATTTTGTTGTTTGAATTAAACCAGTGTATTCACACCTAGATCCTGGCATATAGTAAGGTCTTTGTATGATATATTATTTGTTTTCATTATTATAATTCTTACAGTAAAATCAGCTTATATATAAACCTTTAAGATGTTGTCAAGAGAACAAAGTTGGTTTTCTTTTTCAGTGACATAAATTTAATTTAGAGCATATCTCTCCTGTTTCTATTAAGCTTAAGTTTCTTCAGGAAATATAAAATTATTTAGAAAATGTTACCTGCAAAGTTATTAATTTATGGCTTTATTAATCAGAGTGTTTCACTTCAGTAACTTGAGTGCATGCAGTACTGCAAAAGTGTCAGAAGAGGGTGCCAGTGTGCTAGAGGTGGGCCCTAAACCTGGTCAGCCATAGTAACAGCTTTGCATAGAAGTGGCAGGTGTACACGCTAGAGAACTAAACAGTTGGTCAGTGATAATGCAAACATATAAAAGCTTGTCACAGTTTAATAAATGACTTTTTCCCTTTGGCAACATAGCCTTCTCTTTGTACCCCTCTCAAATAATGTTCTTATTAGGTAAGTCTTACACAGATGGGCTTGTGATTGTTTTTTTTGTACCATAGAGAATAAAGACTGTATTTATTGTCATTCTTGAATGGTTATTTTTAGCCATTGTGAGAGTAGCTGAGTCTCAGTGATTACTCTTAGAAGTTTTCAAACTACTGCTTAAATATTATCATTCATCCTAAAAGATGTATGAAAGTTAACTTCTTTTTGAATTTGGGATTATTTTAAGAATGTAATATGCTTATTTATTAGCATTTATTTTAGTTTATTTTTTATTTTTTATTTTTTTGTGAGACAGAGTCTCACTTTGTTGCCCTTGGTAGAGTGCTGTGGCATCACAGTTCACAGCAACCTCAAACTCTTGGGCTTAAGTGATTCCCTTGCCTCAGCCTCCCAAATAGCTGGGACTATAGGTGCCTGCCACAACGCCTGGCTATGTTTTTGTTATGGTTGTCATTGTTGTTTGGCAGGCCTAGTGTATGTGGCTGGTGCCCTAGCCACTGAGCTATAGGCGCTGGGCCTATTAGCATTTATTTTTTAAAAATTACTCTGGTGATGCTTGACAAGGATCAGTTTTTCTAAAACACAAAAGGAAGTTTGTGCCAGCTCTTTTTATTCCTATAATTTGCTCTTGATTGAGTTCATCTTCTTCTCTGCAGCTATCCTAGACTTTGATGTAACACTCAGATCACTAATTTAAATATATGTCAAAAAGAACATGGATCATGGAGTTTAAAATTTTAAAAAAATTCTTTAAGGAAAAGAGTGATGTGATAAATGCCTCCCCCCTACCCCCATTTGGAGTACATGAAATGTGGCCCTCTGGTGTTGTGCAAGGTATAATATATATGGAATTGCTTCCGTTTTATGAACATCTCTTTTAATCTGTTGAGCTTCCCAAAGGTGGTCTGGATTTAGGGATATAGTGGTTAAAGGCAAGGATTTTGGAGTTAGATGTGGGTTTGAAACCCAACCCTCCACGTTTACTAGTTGGGTGACCTTACAGGGGTTACTTTACCTATTTTAAGTCTCCATTTCCTTGTCTATAAAATGAGGATAATGATAATACTAACGTCCTAAGGATTTTATGGCTAGAGTAGGTGTTTAATAATATAGTTCTCATCTGAATAAACTAAGTGGGTTAAAAAATTTTTTGAAATGCCTTATAGTTTGTAGCACTTTGATTTGATCTTTATTGTTTTATTTCCTCTGCATAGCAGTGGTGTGTGTTGGGCAACATAAATATTATTGTCTTTTACATTGAGAATTATAGGAAGTGCTTACCACTTAGCTTACCACTTTTGATTGGCACTTGGGGCTATTCTCACTAATAACTCTGGAAATTTTGATATCGGTTATAGTAGTCTTGGGAATTTTTCTATTTTATTCCCATTTTCTTGTTCTTGAACCTTGATGCCATAGTAGGGACCTCCCATTGAATTTACTTTCTTGATGAGTTCTCAATGTGCAGAGCAGAGCTGATTTTACCAATAAACTGAAATAATATAGACCTTACTGCCTCAAAGTGGTATTGTATTTTTTCTTTTGCTAGAAATTGTGTTTTAGAATTATCTTTATGTAGGTGAGCAGTATCATCCATATCTTAGTAACATTAAGAAGAAATGGTTCTTTCTCAGAAGTGATGAAGGAATCAACATCCAGCACAAAGTAAAAAAACTGCCCTAGCTCTAGGATGTTAGGCACCTGAGCTGGGATGCTGTTGGCATGCACCTTTTGCCGGCAATCCCCACCCAGTGCCCAGGTATGGGGCTTCTTCAAGTTAGAGTTCTGGCTTTCTCGGAATATATTCTTTGGACTAGAGGTATTTTTAGAGATCATCTAGTCTCCATAATTTAAAAATTGTGTGTGGTAATATCTAACGTTGAGTACTTTCTATGTATACCATACAGGGTGTATATATTTTTGTTCATTTTCCCAGTTAATTTTTATAGTAACCTTCTAAGAAATAAGAATTGTTGTAACATTTTACAGATGGACTTCCTAAAGCTTAGAGAGATTGATGTTTATATGACTTAACTACTACCTGCATTCAGAAACCGGTCAAGTAAAACTTCAAAACTTATGTTCTTGATCATAATGCTATAAGTGCTATCTGTGCAGAGAGGGTAAGTGACATGCCAAAAGGCCTGCGTGACTATTTGGTATTAGTTTTGGAACTAGAATTCATCTTTTCTGACTACTACTTACGGTATGTTATAGAGGCCATGGCTCTCATTCGATTAGTAGGTTGGGGACTAGCCACAAAGAAACGTGGGGAGAAGAGGAAACAATTCATGTTAGGAGAGATGAGAAAAGAATTTAATATGATAGAATTACAAAATTTAGAGAGAGGCATTTTTCATGACATGAGATTATGAAAGAAGAGAAAGATTTATTGATTGCATTCTTCATTCATTCAAGAGTTATTTGTGGATGTCTGCTGAGAACTCTTCTGAGCACTGGGGATATGGTGGTGAATAAAACAGAAAGCCTGCTGATGATCTATATGTACATTTATATCTATATTAAGTAACTCCTCAGAATAAAAGAGGACTGGGTATCCATAATAGAGATAGGGCTTGGGATCTTTTTCAGTGAGTGTGTTTCTTTCTCACTTTCCTTGGAAGATCATTGCTCTATCATGTCTCCCTGAGCAGGGCACAGTCCAGTAGGAGTTAAGGGGCCAAAGCTGGAAGCAGGTGTTGCAGGGTAGCAATGGTGTGATACTCAAGCCTGGTGACCAAGGTGGACTGGCCAGCCTCTGGGTGTAACTTCTTCTCTCAGTATCCCCTTTATATCCAAGGCAGAGTGTGGCTTTAGAAAAAGAGCATTGTCAGAGCAGAGGTACAGATTAACACTAGAGGCTTTCTGACCTGGGAGGCTTGCTTCTTACTACCCCATTCCAGATGATGAGTTGGCACTGCTCACAGTGGTGATGGGAGAAGTAGATAACAGTCAGCTTGAAAACTGACAGGAGACTCGGCACCTGTAGCTCAAGTGGCTAAGGTGCCAGCCACATACACCAGAGTTGGTGGGTTTGAATCCAGCCTTGGCCTGACAAACAACAGTGACAACTACAACCAAAAAATAGCTGGGTGTTGTG